TGAAAATAACCTCTCTTACGAAAGCACAACATATAAATAACCCGTCATATTCAGTAATGATTTTCTGACACAGCAAATATCACTGATTTTATACAAATGCAGACCAATATACACATAATCATCCAGATGCGATCTTGCTATTCAACCAACTTTCTTCTCAGAGATAAAAACTACAGACCCGGGTCACTCAGCCTCACAAAACTATGCAACCAATAATGCGTAGTTTAGTTGAATGATTCCTCCATAGATGGACGTTCACAACGATCCTATGTGGAATGACTGTTTGCGCCCTAAAAACTACCTAGTCTGCAAGTTGACATCTTATCGTTTTTTTGACGTTTTATAGGTTTTTTACATGATACCCGTGAGGATTTTAATGAAAGTCTTACATAATGTTACTACTGTGCCAAAAGCGAAAAATCTCTGTAGTTTTTGAAAATCGATTCAGTAGCGGCAGAGAAAAATGCCAAAAACTAAAAAGAATAAAAGAGGATCCTAATAATTTTGGAAATAAAATAGATGTAAAGAAAACTTGGTGGTGATACTCATGCCGCCTCGTAAGCAAAAACCGAAATAGCGGGGCACCGCCATTGCAATAAGGAGCTTAAAAACACCTGGCTAATCCAATTTTTGAAATGCCTATGATTAGCAGAACTAGGAAAAGCCTCCTCGGGTAGATTAATAAATTGTTGATGATGAGAAAAGTGGCATAGAAGCTAAATAGTTTGATAGTTTTTGAGAGAGTCAGAATCCCTGCCATGTTTTAATAATCATATTGCTTTGTCCTCCTTCCACTCCTTTGGGATTTCCAGTATGTGTTAAAGAGGCCCAAAACCCAGTGTTTAGCACTTGGTTAAACATTTTTTATTTGTTCCATGCATATATCATCTACTCCCACAGCTTTCAAATTTTCATTAAATGAAGTCCTGGATTGAGTTCTTTCATTGTAAAAAATGATCCAATCTTAGCACAAGCTATGCTGCAAACTCAGCATGGGCAACACTACCCTACTTATTGTCGTCGTGTATCGCCCTCCTCATACTTCAATTACAGATAGCATTGATACCATTGATGATATCCTTTCTTTCTTCGTACCTCAATTTGATAATATAATAATTCTTGGTGACGTAAATGTTGACCTTTTGAATCATGACAATCCTTTGAGCAACTGCTTCGACAGCTTCAATTTTGATCAATTAATAAATGAACCGACTCGTGTAACTCAGTTTAGCTCAACTCTAATAGACCCCATTTTTTCTAGCAATTCAAACAGTGTTGTAAAATCAGGAGTTCTTAATGCTGATCTTGTGTCCGACCACAAGTTAGTTTTCTGTGCTGTTGCTCTGAAGCTTCCTAAATTTGAACCCAAGTTAGTAACTTTTAGAGATATAAAAAATATTGATGTTATTAATTTTAAGGGCGACTTACTTCATGCTGGACTTGATCGTATCTTTTACTTTATGGATGTTGATGACAAAGTAAGCTGTCTATCTAGTTGCATAATACAAATATATGATATGCACGCGCCATTAAGAACTGCTCGTGTAACAAAACCGGCTGCTCCATGGATAACATCGAACCTGAGATGCATCTTTAAGGAACGCGACCAAGCTCTCTTGAATTTCCGTCATGACCCATCTGAAGTGAACTGGTCTACGTACAAAGATATGCGGAATTACGCACTTGCTTCCTTTCGTAGGGAGAAGAGGGCCTACCTTTCTAGATATGGTGATATTAGTACACGATCAGCATGGAAAACACTTAGATCTATGAATGTCTGTCAACAGAAAAGTGTTGATGTACCGTTTAATCTGCTAGATCCCCGTGAAGTCAACGAATACTTTTTAAGTACTTTTATGCCTGCCGATCAAAACCTCAAAGTAGTACAATCCACTGTCAACAGCTACAGCAACAGACGCTTCGATCCCGACGTGTCATCATTTCACTTTCGTCTGGTAACCCCTCGTGAAGTTATGAATGCAGTCTTGTCTATCAAGTCTGAAGCAGCGGGTTGTGACGGCATCACTCTAACTATGCTAGGCTTATGCCTGCCTGAAATACTTGATCACATCACGCATATTATTAATATTTGCTTAGAGAGGGGCGTTTTCCCATCCAACTGGAAGGAGGCAATAGTCACACCTCTAGCCAAAAGTAAGAATCCGTCTGAACATGCCGATCTTAGACCTATAAGTGGTTTATGTTTCTTGTCGAAAGTCTTGGAGAAGTTAGTATACGAACAGCTTGTTGAGTATTTTGCTAATAATAATTTCTTTCCAGTACACCAATCTGGTTTTCGTGAAGGTCACAGTACGACTACTGCACTACTACATCTTGCAGATGAGATACTTTCCAACCTTGACAACAAATCCGGCACGCTGTTGGTCATGCTTGATTTTTCCAAGGCTTTCGATACGGTCAATCATGAGATTCTTTTGAGTAAGCTAAAATATTATGGCATGTCGGAAGTTCCTTTGAATTTCTTCAGATCGTACCTAACTGATCGCACCCAAAGAGTGAAAACATCTAGAGGAACTTCTGATGCACAATATCTGTCATCAGGAGTTCCACAGGGTTCAGTACTGGGACCTCTTTTATTCCTAGTATACACATTCGATCTGCATGAGTGTGTAGAACATTGTTGCATTCAAATGTATGCTGACGATACACAGCTAACATTTCGTTTCAATGAATCCAACTTACATGAAGCATCCTACAAAATTAACCTAGATCTTGACAACGTATTAACGTATTGCAATAGACACTGTCTCCGCATCAATCCATCAAAATGCACCGCGATACCATACTGTCCTAGACATTCAAATTACAACATCACAAATCGGGTCTCCTTGTTTATCAACGACATAGATATTCCATTTTGTGATAATGCTAAGAATCTAGGTGTTATATTTGATTCAGATCTTCGATTTAACTTACATGTGAATAATATTATGAAGTCGAGTTATATGAAGATGAAGCTTTTATATTCTAGTCGCCATATTCTAAACTTTAAGTCCCGTAAAAAGTTGTGTGAAAGCCTCATATTATCAATTTTAGCTTACTCTTTAGTCCTCATTTACCCATGCCTAGACTCAGCTTGCAAGTCAAAATTGCAGAAGCTTCAGAACAACTGTTGCAGATTCATATTTGGGCTTAGGAAGTACAGTAGCGTTTCTTCAAAAATCAAGGAGTTACAGTGGCTCAGAGTTGACGGCTTATACAACTTACTCTATGGCTTCATTGGTGCATAGAATTTTTAAAACTGGTAACCCCGTCTATTTGCTCTGTAAGTTGATTCCTCGTGGAAACCAAATTACTCTAAATCTGCGGCACAATGATCTACTTTCCATTCCTATACATCGTACGTCGGTCTTTGAAAGGTCCTTTACTTATAATGCGGTCAAGGTATACAATTCTTTGCCAGCTATCTCTAAGAGCTTAAGTTTGCAGCGCTTCAAGAAGACAGTCAAGTTGCACTTTCTGGACTCAGCACATTGAGTGATAAATTCATTTTGCTGAACGATATCTTGTTCTTTTGTTTCTTCTCTTTGTATATGTTCATATTATATATTTTTAATGCATTCGTTACAGCTACTGATTCATGTTATTATGCTAATGTTTTGTAATGTCTGGTTGTAGTATGGTTAAGTGGTAGAGTAGCCATGGCTAAACTTCGCCATACTATGATCATCTTTTGAATAAAGTCATTATTATTATTATTATTATTATTATTATTATTATTGTACACTTGTTGTCAACTCGTTTTGTAGCTGTACGAGTTGCCTAAACGCCAGAGAACAGTGATCATAGCGAGCAAACGTGGAATGAACTATGTGCACACTAAAAACTTCCTAGTATGCAAGACGACATTTTTTTTATGTTTTTAAGGTTTTTCACATAATACCCCTGCAGATGTCAAATTGAACATAGCAACAGAATTTGGAAGACAGAAGCGTAATAAAGCGGGCAGTGAACAATGTATAGAGAAGGGTCAGGCTTTGCCTACAAAATAACGGACAGCATTTTTAACATCTGCTATGATTTATCTCTGTTTATTCATGATTGTTTTACCATCAATAAAATTTTAATGTTGTCTTCAGGTTTTACCATACCTATTTATTTCCTTGTAATTTTAATCCAACAACAAACTCATGGCGAACTAAGAAATACATTACTGGTTTAAGGACTGAAAAGTCCATTTGAATGTATAAAATTCCAATAAAACGTCGATATGAAAAAACAAAGTTGGTGATGGAAGTCGAAAGAAGAAATGTCGATTTGAAAATTTGACTAGGCCATCTTGTAGAGGAGAATAAGTAACAACATGCAATTTATTTTGAAATCTCGTCTCAAATAAAGTCAGGAAAAAATAACAGTCACTTTAGGATAAATCTAGTATGCGAAACCAATGAATTAAAAGGTATACATAGGAAATTCTGCTTTTTTGAAACAACTAAGATTTGGCAATGTCAGTTTATGACGTATTATACATTTTTGGATTCATAGTTAAAAAATCCATGTACTTGTGCAAAAATCCAATGTGGCGTCGATAAGGAAAAATAAAGTTGATGCTGGAGGACAAGAGATGAAACATCATATTGAAATTCTAATTATATCTTTTTCCTTTTCGTATAAGAGTAAAAAGCGGAAATGTTAATGTGCATTTTATTTTGAAATCCCACCACAAATAAAGCCAGGAAAAATTTAAAACGATTTTCGGTTTTCTCCGTTACCCTCCGGAAGTAATTTGAGAAACGTTCTAAACGACATTTTATTGACTACCGAAATACGCAACTTTGCCCTCGGTTAACCGATTTCGTATCTCTTACAGTTTCCGAGATTCCAGTGGTGACACACCCTGTATACATCCACCTTTTCACAAACGTTACTCAGCGTTTGAGAACCACTACAGAACCTCTCGTCCTGCATATAAAAACCAAATTCCTAAAATTCGCTTCACATCTCGGACAACCTTGATTGGCCTTGTGAGGCAGCAGGATGTCGATGTCGTGATTCGGGACAGTGAAAGGCACCGAAAAACATGTTCCGGCCTATGTATGTACATACGCGCGTATGGCCGACCACGCCCAGTCCGAAGCTATAAATTCAATGTTAAAAGAGACACATATTCATCACCGAACTCGAAATAATCTGAAGTAAGGTCGCCGGGAATCGACCGAAGTCATGGCGATCCGTGTAAGTAGTCGCGGGCAATCAGTACAGTAGCGTACTGGCGATACGTAGTGTCTTGGTACTGGAGATATGCAAGTTTGTATGAGACATCATCTAACCAAACATCTCATGACTTATGATCTCTCATCTGATTGTTCATCAAATGTTCATGAGATTCATGATGCTAATCTCGCATTCACTCATTGGATCCAAGATGGTATAATATAATCTCATGCAGCGCCAATGTTTGTTAACCTCAGTCAATGCAAATTGGTTTAGCATTCAAACAATGTTGGCCTGCGTTGGCCCAACGAAAATGTTTTACCCATATTTGTGACTCTCCTGGTATATTTTGAGAAAAACGCTCGGTCACGTCAATTTTGATTTCTTGGGGTACGACTTTTCAAATACAGCGTGATCCAAAAATAAGATATTGCGTTACACTTTAGGCCCGTATCGTCAGTCGTTCCTACAATTGTAGGGCGCGTTTATGGCCTCCTTGATTGTCATACTGCTTTCTCTCCTTCAAAAATTTCTAGATTACACTTGACCCGTGTCAGCGCCAGCGCTCTCCTATTGTGAAGATATGTTTTCTTTTTAAATTGTAGGAAATTTTATGCTGATAAAACATGATATAACTCAAAGGCAAGCACAATTTGATGCAAATAGATGTTTGTGACATAACCTCAAAATAGTGTTCTGACACGGAGAAGTAGAAAACTATGACAATCAAGGAGGCCTTAAAGGCGCCCTACAATTGTAGGGACGACCGGCGATACGGGCCTTAGATTTTTAGGCGGAAACCCCCATTTTTGAGTTGAGTTTATAATAAAATTCTAGAAATTGTGATAATAAGGGATTATAACGTGAAAATAATAATCAATATAGTTCCCAGAGAAACAATTCTTTACTTTAAAATTAAAAACAAGTCGAGTACTGAAGAAACAGAAAACAAGTTGCAGCTTATTCGCACGTTAAAGTTAAAGTAAACATTAATTTGTTATAAAGTGCTGAAAGTGGTGTCCATTTACCTCCATGCAATACTAAAGATTTTCCTATTCCTCACATGTTGAAGCATGTCTTGAGCTATTTGTCTACATTCAGCCGTAATCCGCTGTCGAAGATCTTGAATGGAATCTGGCTTCGTACTAAATCTTTACTTTTCAAATGCCTCCAAAGAAAGTAATCTAAAGGACTTAGGTCTGGAGATCTCGGTGTCCACTCGATGGGGCCTCCTCTATCGATCCACTGATTCGGGAAATGGGTCTCCAACAGCTGTCGTACTTAGTGCGGCGATGTACCATCTTGTTGGAAATGAATCTAATTTTCATTAAAATTAACGTCATTTTCTATTATTTCGGTAATTCATGACTCTATTGTTTTTTATAACACGTCCAAGTACGTCTCGCCCGTCAAGTTTCCTGGAATAAAGGAAGGCACCGTGTAAATAGAACATACACTCATCCGAGAAACAAATATCGTTGTTAACACAAGAAAACCACGTAACTCCACTTTATATGACGTTTAAAATAGGAAAAGCACGTAATTCCTAATTTTACCTATTTTCCATTTTTGTTTTGAAAATTTCAGCTTTTTTTACTCGTAAATATCATTCAGAAAATGCTCAACTAAACTATAATAATGCATGTATCACAATAATGCTATTATTCCTAAAACAATATAATGCATAACTCAATTTGTTTTTACGCTTTCCTCTAAAATTCTTAGAAACGGAGTTACGATTTTTTCTTGTATCATCGACGATATTAAATAACAGATTTTCATTGTTGATTAAACGTTGGGATAATAATTCGCAAAATTCCAAAACCTTCTATCAAAGTCGTCTTCATTAAGCTCATGGACAAGTTTTGTCTTGTACGGATTAAATTTATTGTTTTTCAAGATTCTTTATACTGTGGAGCGAGTAAATTCTGAAGAAGTAGCCAATCCACGAGTGCTTTGGGTGTTGTCAAGCGCTATGTGTCCCAAAACTGCTATTACCGCGGCTTCAATTCAAACCGGTCGATATTGTCGATTGCGATTACGGCGAATATTAGACGCAGATCCAGTTTCTACAAATTTTCTCATCAACCTAGCCACACACTTTTCGTTAATATTTTTGTCTGTGTTAGTTTTGCTATTTCTTCCCTTTCTTGCATCGAATAAGTCTCTGTTCAATATTTATCACAACTAGGTAACCTCACAATTTAAAATGACACAGTTTTTCTATGGCATACGATGACACTGACTGGTGCTAAATGCTCTTGCTAGTAATAAATTAAGTTAGTCAAATTTTATTACTCACTCAAATAGCTTCACAACGATTGAAGATAGGTATGTACAGGGTGTAAAGTTAGTAGTGGATCAACGGAAGTCAGGTGCTAGAGGGCCTCAAAACATATCGAACGAACCCCTACGTGTGTGGTCCCTAATTTTATAATGAACTTTCAATCACAGTTACAACTAACCATTAGGTTCAGGGCTGTGATTTTATTTTTTGAGATGAGCTAAATGGTAAGTTTTAGCAACGGTTGTGTCACTTGTTAACAGAGCTAATTAGAAATCATCGCAATTCGTTTTTTTCTGAAAAATCTCTTCCATCCCTCAACTTTGGAGGGCGGTAAAAAAAATTGAGGTTGTATTTCATTATTCATTTTATTGTAAAAACTATTTCAATTCATTTAGAATAAACCCTTAAATATCAGCTTGCTACGATAAGTGGCTCACCTTAAAAAATCTGTATGTTTGGCGCAGGTGGGTATCTATACAAAAAATTCTATTTTACGTCCAAACGACTTGATGAATTCTGACATCTGAGGTCCTGTTAGATACATCCCAGCAGTGCGAGTGATACTGTATGTATTAACATTTTGTAAAATCAAAATGGCGGTTTTTTTTCGCAAATAGTCAAATCAGCATTTGCGTATAGGGAGGGCCGCATACTAGCCACCCATCTTCAGCTAGGAGCGCAGAGGATACGCCCAGAAGAAATGTAAGATATAAAAGAAGCAACTGTGAGAGATCCCTCTACGAGAAGCACCAGAGCCATTGCCCGAAGCAAGTACAAGAATTGCTTCCAAGCGACTATGCACAACGAGTTGAATTTTGTGAGAAAATATTGAGAAGGTTCGAAGAGGATGAAGCTTTTTTCGGCAGCATCTTATGGACAGATGAATCCAACTTTAATGGAAATGGAAGATTCAACATGGACAATTTCCATTCATGGAGCGTGGAAAATCCACCATTATTCGTCGACACAGCTTTCAACGTCAGTTCGCCGTTAATTTATGGGCTGGTGTACTCAACAAACAATTAATTGGACCATATCTTGCTTTTCTACAAAGCAGTTTGCATGCGCTGCTAGTGGATGTACCTTTGGGCGTTCGAAGCCGCATGTATTTTCATTGCAATGGTGCTCCATGCCACTTTGCATGGGATGTACGGCATTACTTAGACTGTGCCTTTCCTGGGCGTTGGATAGGTAGAGGTGGACACATACGATGGCCTTCAAGGTCACCCGATTTAAAACCTCTAGATTTTTTTATACGGAGGTTTTATAAGGGGATAATCTTTATATATCTGAATATACAAATATTAACCAACTGCGCCAGAAAATTGATGAAGCAAAAATAAAGGTTATGGATAACGCAAATTCATTTCAAACACTAAAGGACAATTTCATTAGAAGGTGTCGCTTGTGTACAAAAAAACAATGGAGGCCATTTCGAACATGTTCTTCAAAAGTTAGTGAAATTAAATTATCTTCCACATAATCTTACTAAGATCTCTAAAAATCAATATTACACACAAAAACTCATTTTAGCTTGTAATAACTATAGGAAGAACTGGGATGTTATTAATGAGGTAGTTAATTCTGGCCAAATTAAAGAAAATGACGTAAAATCAATTAATCACAATAATCAGCAGCTGAACGCTCCCACTGATATAGCCTGTGTTTTTAATAAATATTTTGTTGATATAGGTGAGCAAATAACAAGTCAGATTGATCAAAACTCAATTCTTGATACATCAGATCTTCATGTCGTCGACATTGTTCACTATATGTGTCTAACTCCAGTGGATAACATAGAGTTACAGCAAATAGTTTGTAATCTGAAAAATAATAGCGCACCCGGAAAAGATAGCTTACACACTAAAACTATCAAGATGATCATGAAGTATATCAGTCACCCTATAATCCTCAGTAATTCCTCGCCAATTTAAAGAAGGCATAGTGACACCAATATTTAAATCTGGAAGTAAAGGCAATATGTTCAATTATAGACCTATTTCAGTTATCAATGTATTTGGGAAGATTTTTGAGAAGTGTTTGAATAACAGACTTTGTTCTTTTCTTGAGAAATATGACATAATATCGAACTGTCAATTTGGGTTCCGCAAGAATTGCAATACAGAGCAATCTCTACAAGAACTTACAGGACAAGTGCTTGAAAATTTTCAAGATGGAAATAAGACTGTTGCGGTTTTCTAGATCTTCAAAAGGCTTTCGATTCAGTATCTCATACAATTTTATTAAAGAAACTAGAAAGTGTTGGAGTGCGTAGTGGAATTCTGAACTTATTTGAGAACTATTTGGATGATCCATTACAATAAGTTAAGGTAGGGTCAGATTTAAGCGGCATTCAAAAGATCAAAATAGGTGTGCCTCAGGGGACGGTTTTGGGGCCAACACTGTTCCTCATATACAAAAATGAACTACTTCAATGCAATTTCAACTGTAAAATGGTATCATATGTTTTAGTTTGCACTGGTCATTCATGGGATGACGCAATTCGGAATGCCGAGTTGTCATTAAATAAAGTCAAATGCTGGTTGGATAGCAATTTACTTAAACTTAATATCTCTGAAACTAAGTATGTAACGTTTTCTCCAACCAAAGCCAGGCATGCCATTACAACACAGAACATTAATTATAAATGATAGTGCTGACACTGTCGAAAGAGTTGAAGTTATTAGATACTTAGGAATCACTATTGACAGTAATTTAAAATGCCAGAGTCATGCCGAGCTTTTGGCATCGAAATTAAGGAGATTTATTCATAAGTTTTTCATTCTTAGGAATATTTTAAGCAGAAAGTGTCTTCTCTCAATATATAACTCGTTTGTGGGGTCTCTACTAACTTACGGGATAAGTATATGGGGAGCCACATAAACTAGTACTTAAAAATACTACAAACCACGCAAAATTACATTGTCAGGACTATTTTTCGTATCCCATGTAGGTCAAGTTGCAGATTTGTTTACATTGAAAATGATCTTTTGAATGTTTATATATTTTTGCTGCTCTGAAATTTGTTCACTCCAGAAACAATGTTCCAACCAGTCACGCTTATGAAACAAGAACTAAAATAAATATAAGTTACACTTATACCAGAGTGAATAAATCTGTTTGCCAAAAATGCATAAAATTTGATGGTATTAGGCTGTATAATAAATTACCCCTAGAATAGAAAATCCTCTCGAAGTATAGTTTCAAAAAAATAATTAAGAAGTTCATCTTAAATAACTTTGACATGCTTGCATCGACTGTAGCTTGACCCAACTCAGTCATTTCGCTTCTATCTAATGTTTTTTATTTCTTTTTTTTATATACATTTGCTCATAATATACTTTATGACTATTAGCCATGCATTGAATTTGTATATTGTATGACACACACAAGCTGATAGCTTAGGTGTCTATTCTTTTGTAGTAAATTCTTTTGTAGTAAATTGTAGTACTCTTGTTTCTCTGCTTAACCTTTAGGCAAAAAAAGTTTTATTGTTTAAACAACATAGTTGGACCTTACTCGAAGTATCCCGATATTATCATATTTCAGATATTCATATTTTATGTACTCTATATTTATACTTCTGATTGTTTTTAGTATGCTTCTGTACTATTGTTATGAATTTTATATTTGTTTATCCGGACACGTAATTTAGGATTTGTGACGAAAAGATTCAGACATTTACATGCTTGCATCGACTGTAGCTTGACTCAACTCAGTCATTTCGTTTCTATCTAATGCTTTCTAATTTCTTTTTTTTATATACATTTGCTCATAATATACTTTATGACCATTAGCCATGCATTGAATTTGTATATTGTATGACACACACAAGCTGATAGCTTAGGTGTCTATTCTTTTGTAGTAAATTCTTTTGTAGTAAATTGTAGTACTCTTGTTTCTCTGCTTAACCTTTAGGCAAACAAATGTTTATGGTTTAAACAACATAGTTTGACCTTACTCGTAATATCCCTATATTATCGTATTTCAGATATTCATATTTTGTGTACTCTATATTTATACTTCTGAGTGTTTTTAGTAGGCTTCTGTACTATTGTTATGAATTTTAGATTTGTTTATTCAGACACGTAATTTAGGATTTGTACGACAAGATCCAGACATTTACCCTTTACGAAAGTATACAGAATTTTCACAATTCATATACCGTTACTTGTTGGTTCTAGATCTGATGCTAGTATCTTTCCTTAGATTTCTGTTGCAATCTTGGTTATTCATGGTAGCAAGAGCATACAAGCTCATGCATTTTTGAAACAACACAGTCCTAAGCCTAATGGTTTAGTTGTAATTGCGATTGAAAGTTCATTATCCCGTTTTTTCAAAATTTCACAAAATTACAAATATCTCCAGAACTATAAAATTTCGGACCACACATATAGGGGTTCTTTCGATAGGTTTTTAGGCCATCTATCACCTGACGTCCACCAGTGAATTTACACCCTGTATAGCTGTATTGTGCAAAAGTTACTAAAAGCGTCATGGACAACCTAAAAATTAAAAAATGGCGGCTTCCATTAAAAAATCCGAAGTGTATGTGACTGTGACTGTGACTGTATGTGACATAGCCAGTCTGTTTGAATCATGAGACTGGTCCCTGTAAAGTCAAGTTCGTAGAATCTGGGCCTTCCTCGACTCACGATCCACCACACTGACCATTTTATTTTGGCTCCTATACACTCATATTTCTCCCTAGTGTTTGCTAGAGACCGGCAGCTTGCCAAAAGAAAATAGTAAGAATTATTAAGGTGTCAGTCAGTTTTAATGGATGTTTTTTGGATGAACACTAGGGCAATTACTTTTGACTATATTTAAAAAAACCTAAAAAACTACCCAACAAAATTTTCTTGTAGCTCTAGATACATTTTTTCCTAAAATCCTAAAGCTTCTGTAGTACCTCGAAATTTGCCGTTTCTTTTTCAACACACTGATCTGATCAAAGCTAAGCATAGCGCTTATTACCATTAATCTTAGTGAAGAAAAAAATATATAATCTGTACTCGTATATGTCTAAACATTAAGCCGTCACTTATAGAGGTCTCGAAAACCACAAAACAGATAGTTACACATCTACGACCACATTTTTTCTAAGACAATAAACTAATAACCAGCAATTGGTTAATTGGTCACAGTTCAATCGTTATGCGATGTTACTTTCTATATGCAATGCTGACAGTTTAATTCCGGTTTCATTTTATTATATAAATATTTTATTTGTTGTTCCTTTCGGCAAGTGAGGCTTTCGTTACATAATGTATTTTTAACCATGCTTAATTTGTGTCAGTTATCCATAAGTAGTCTAACGTCTAATAAAAGAAGAAGAAATGAAGAATAACGGTACCTTTCACCCAAATGCTGTGTTTAATATAAATATTTATCTCCAAAAGAATACAGAAAAATATAATGTATCTCTTCCACTTCTAAGACCGTTTAGGACTAACTAGGAAGAACGTTTGATTGCAAATGACCGTAATCAATGCATTTAAATTTAAAATGAGTCAGGTGAATTTTTCTATGTTTGTAGAAATGGCAGGAAACAACCTAACAACCTATTAAAAAGGTTTCCTAAAGCCAAAAACGCTGCTAGGGTCACTTGCATACAATATCATAACTGGTATCTTCTATAAACTTGCAAAAATGAGTCCGATAACTTAAGGTTTATGGAAGTAAGATCGCTAATAACGAACCTCAGCCACAACATGGTTGTTATAACAATTTTCACATTATCTCGAAATCAAATTTATAGCCCTTTCTAGTTTACACCCAGTTTACACATTAGGTTATCTATACATTATAATAGGCACTAATATTTACTTTGATCCTCTTCATCATGTGCCTACAAAAACCAAAATTATATTTACAAAAATATTTCCAAAAGAGGCAATTTATCGGCCCTGTACCTGTTCATTACCCTGCGCGACTTTCTTCTAATTCTTCTATGCTTTGGCACAGATAAACATGTTTTTCTGAAGCTCATATGCAGAGCAACGTTTGTAAATGGCGCGAAGCGTGCGCATCGCTTTGTGGTAGCAATGGTAACTGGTGTCATGTGACGTCATTACCCAGTTTAAAGCTCCAACAAGATAATTCTCCAAATAATAATTTTCTGTGTAGAGTACAACTACCATTCTGAGTGTGTTCCAAAAAAACGAAACTTTTTCACTGCACAAAATATCTTGATCCGTAATGTACAGAAAATTGACAACTGTGCCATACTTCAAACCGATTTTTTTTATAGAAACAGAGTAGCCCAAAAGTACGGGTGATCAAGCGTATTCAACACCAAATCATGACTACAAGCTGAGTAGAATCTGTTTGTTTTCCGTCTCTGCCACCATAACCGTATATAATGTCATTTCATGCCTTTTATCAATCATCAGTACCGTATAGGTCACCAGCTATAGGTCTAGTCATTTGAACACACATGGCGGGAAGCAAACAACTGAATATGGGTCTTCTGACAAACTGTTGTTTTGTAGTGTACGGCCCCCTATTAGTAGTTCGCCAAACGTGTTCCCGACACCTGCGTATGATAGCAGGAATAATAAGTACTCACGATGCTACCAGCATTCATTTACTAAGCAAAGGTTGCATAAGCCAAACGCAGGTTTAAAATTGTTTGTTTGCTTCCTGTCTCTGATACCATAACCAACTGTATACAACGTTGTTTCACTGCAAGACTACTAAGCAATTCGCAGCTCTCTTAACATTTAGTATTCTGACTCCACCACCCATTAAAGAGAAAAAATCAAATATGATCAAAAATCTTCGGAATTAATTCCCCCTATGTGTCAATCACATGCACCCGTTTTTCCGACTAGAATCCGTTTGACGTCTTTTCCCCTTTTTCCAGTTTCCGCCTTATAGCCCCACGGTACCCAGGCGTATTTAAGCATCAAGCCTGCGCGGTGGATCAAGTATAAAAAAATTCTTATCCCAGCTCATGAGTGGATTCTACACTTGCGAGTTATTGGACAAGAAATTATTTTTTACCCTTCATAAGGCGCAAGAGATTTGATAGGTTTTATTCCAAGTTTTGACTTATATAGCGACTGTTTGACAGTCGTCGATGAAGCGTTGAAAACGCCATCGATCACTAGAATCGGTTACTGCGAAACAGTGAATTGCGTCCTACCTGTTGGTACTATATATATCTCAATCGGCGAAGGAGGCTCAGTCACCACGTGACCGCTAGATGGCGACGATTCTAGCTGTCTAATGGGTATCGTCTACTTGCCGTTGAACAAAATAAAATAAACATGGTGTCCTCTCGTCCGTGGACAGCTGTTTCGTGCTTGTTGGCTATTTGTCAGCATGGTCTAAGGCTAGAGTCTCTCGGACAATGAACGAATGCATAGCAGATATAAACTATATGTTGTGCAATGTGACTGAGCCACCTTCGCGGATTGAGACCTATGCAGTTTCACCTGGTAGGCTGCAATTCTCTGCTTAACAATGGTCGATCCAAGAGGTAGATGGCGCTTCATGCTGTCTGATTTAGATAGATCACACACTTTGTATAGTGTATAGCGGCCATGCTTTCGTTTGTTGTGCGAGAGACCCAAGCCTAGACCATGCTGAGAGGTAGCCAAAAAGCACGAAATAGCTGTCCTTGATAGACTTTTGTCGGTCGAACAAAAACAGATTTTGTTTATTTTATTTTAAGCAACCACATATGCTTCAACTGTATGTTAAATTATCCAACAGCAAAACAAAATTAAATAACCTTCAGCTTCATCTTTTCCAGTTCCTAGTCTTCGTTGCATCACTAGCACTAGCATACGCTAGTCACCATCACCAGGATGGTTACGAGTATCCAGCCCCCGTAGTTTCCTTCACAGTAGCTCCGCCCCACGCCCATAGTACCATCTCCAGCTATTCTACCTACCAACACCACGACGACCATGTGGCAGCTGCTGCTCCTGTTGTGGACGTACATCCTCATGGTGTGGATTCGCGTTACCTACCACCTTCAAGCTATGTACACACGGATAGTGCGGGTAAGGCTTTGAATTTCTTGGATGCCCTTTAACGTGAATCAACAGCTTACCGGACGGTGAAACGGTGCAAAGTATGAGGCACGAAACGTATGGAGTTTGATCGCCAATCAATTCGTATAGTGATAAGTCATGTAGTGTCAATGTTCTGATGGGCACAAGGCCCAGAAATGCTCTTGTTTATAGATACAGGGTGTTACAATTTGCGGCCTTAGCCCCTGTGGGTACGCCTGCCTGCGCCATTTTACGAAAACTCGTCTTTAATGCACTCAAAGTACTTGACGATATAATGGAAATCACGGCAACACATATATTACGAGGTCGGTAAATGAGGTGATGATACTGGCAATACTGGAGACGCCGAAATTGGAGGGGGGATAGGGAAAAATGTGATCCGCCTACAGTACAAGTTTGAACTCGCTTCAATCATTTGGCTGTCCATGGCGACGTTTTTTTTAAACAGTTTTTTCTATTGTGTTCTAAAAATGAGTAATCAATTTCATGCTACTGTGGGGTATCAGGTTCTGCTTCAGACCTGGTCACAGTGCAACGGAAACTCTTGCTAAACTTCAGCAGGCTTACGTAGATAGTGTTTTGTCAAGAGCCCGGGTTCTTAGGTCGCTTAAGGCATTTTCAGAAGGAAGAGAGCCGATTGAAGATGAACCAGGAAGCGAAACGCCTTCATCTTCAAGAACCGATGAAAATATCGACAGAATCTGGGATTTTATGCGTTCAGATCGTGGGTTGGCAGTCAAAATGATCGGGAAGAGTTAAATTTGACTCACACCACCGTTCATCAGATCAAGAACAACTGGGTGTTCCATCACGATAATGCCTTTGTTACACAGCAATGTCAATGGATGAGTTTTTTTCTAGTAAAAACATTCCTGTGGCTTCTTAACCCTACTCGCCTGATTAGAGTCCTTCTGACTTTCTTCTCCTGCCGAAGTCGAAAAATCACCCCAAGGGAACTTATTTTAGGACAGTTGAAAACATTCAAACGGTTGTAACCGGCTTCAGAAGGAAGTTATTTTGAGGATGGCAATATAAAATTGTAACTATATTTGAAGGAAAAAAAATAGCAAAATCACTCTCATCACTTAATTTTCAGACCCGTATATACAGGTTGTCCCAACAAGAAATTGAAAATAGCTTAGTAGAAAAACCATATCAAATATATTCGAAAACGGTTGCACAGCAAGATTGACATCACATAGTTGTAAATCTCTTAATTATATTTGGAAATATACAAGGTGTTGCACAATTCCGTGACAGAACAGACATGCTTTCTTCAAGTAAAACACCATATACTTTATTAGATATTTGGAAAGACCTTTCGAAAAGAAGCAGGTTGACATAATATACCTGTAAGATTTTGATCGTCATGTATCTGAAAAAAAATTACCTTCATATGGAATTTTAGATTCTGGCATTTTGCGTAGTATTTCATTGACTTTTAGAGAAGCGATGAAAAAGTTCTAACTTCAAACCCAACTTCGGAAATTGCTGATAATATGATCTGTTGATATAGGTTGTTGCGAAACGCATAATGTGTTTTTCAAACATTTTAAATAAGCCCTGTATATTTTACTCCGTCAGGTTTTTCGTTTCATAAACTTTCTTCTGATACCAGGTTGACAATAGCTTATTTTAACGGCCGCCGGTTATTAAGTTGGCGTACTTTTCACCCTCTTTCGAAAATTCAACCAGAATCAAGGCAAAATGGCGGAAGTCATAGCCTTCAAAGATAGGCACATCAGAAAATGAGAAAATAACTAAACAAATGTCGATAAAAACCCTACAATGTATCATATATATCTTCAATGCGCACCTACAGGGTGTCAACCCTGCTGCCCAAACCGTTTTAAAATATCTTTTATAGTTTTTCTTTAAAATAATTTCCATTTTCATTATAATCTTGTATACAGGGTGGCGCATGAAAAACGAAACAGACGCATTTACTGGCAGCTCATTATTTTTTTTGGAAACATGCTCAGACACGTCGATTTTGTTTTCGAGGGGGACACAAGTTTGGCAAAAATCACGTTAACACGTGCAGCCCCCTGGGCGGGGGTCACACCAACCCTAAAATCTTAAATGGAAAGGAGGGGTGAGTGATACCTTATTTTAAAGGTCTTTCAATTCCCTTTATAATGATGTAAAATACATGAGCTTCAGTTCAGTAGTTTTGAAGATTTATTGATTTAAAGCTTAAAGTGGACTTTAATAGGTACATCAGATTAGTTTGTACTACTTTCAGAAGAAATTTGACTAAAAGAATTTACTTAATAGGTAAATGCTTTTCTTCACTACGCTTATGGTTTGTTTATCATTTTGTTGTTGAAAATATGTATTGGAGCGTTTTTTTGTGGCAAAAAAATTATTTCTTGAAGAAGGATAAGGAAATATCTCGTACTTATTTTAAATAGGAATTTAGTACATAGTTTTTGATTGATTTGACTAAACTTTGTTGCTAAGATAACTTGTAATGCTTTATTACATAAATTAACCATGGAATATTCCACAGCAGAAAGAGTTGAAATTATCGCGCTAATAGAACAGCATAAATATTTAATGATCGACATGAGAATAGTAACGTGCATTGAAAATATGTTCTAGAACTTGTAGCTAAATTTCGGTAAACTGGGTCAGTCGCCAATAAAAAACGCAAAATGAACATCCCATAAGGGACGAAGCAATAGAAGTGGGGGTTTTATGGCAAGTTTATGAAGATCCTACGTTAAGGACCCGCAAATTGGAGACTGTGTGTGGTGTTAGTCGACCTACTGTCCAACGGATTCTAAAGGCCCATAGTTTTCATCCGTATAAAATTCACCTGGTACAAGAACTTAATGAACACGATTTTGATCGGTGATTACAATTTTGTGAAGATATGAGTGAACAAATTATAAACGATGAACATTTTATATTCAACACTTGCCTTTCCGATGAATGTTCCCTTTTCTTAAATGGCGTAGTAACTCTTCATAACTGCCTATATTGGTCCGATTTTAATCCCAGAATTTATCATGAGGTTCATACACAGCAGCCACAAAAATTAAATGTTTGGGCTGGTATTTTTGGCGATCATTTAGTTGGTCCTTTTTTCTTACCTGGGAATTTGACCGGTGAAATGTTGCGAATAGGTTGATGTTCCAACAGGATGGTGCCCCACCACATTACGCATTACGTGTTCGACAATATTTAGATCAGACGTTTCCAGATCGATGGATTGGTAGAAGAGGTGCCATTGAATGGCCCCCAAGATCGCCAGATTTATCACATTTGGATTTCTTTATGTGGGGTCATTTAAAAAGCAAAATCTATGCTACCCAGCCAATATCATTAGAAGACCTGCGACAAAGAATTGTGAATGAGTGCCTTCAAATTACTCCTCAAATATTGCAAAATGTGCGGCAACGCTTTGAGCAAAATCTTTATTATTGCATGGAGAGTGATGGTGGCCATTTTCAACATTTAGTTGCCTAACGGGTCAGTTCAGTCTTCATTTTTAAATTACTTTGCTGCCAAATGTATCGATCTCCACTAATGATGCTGTATTAGTTTTATTTAAGCTTTAAATCAATAAATCTTCAAAACTACATTAATTTTCCTCGAAAACAAAATCGACTGCTCTGAGCGTTTTTCCAAAAAAAACTGAGCTGCCAGTAAATGCGTCTGTTTCGTTTTCGATGCGCCACCCTGTATATTGTTTGTGTTGACGACATTAGTCTACAATAAAGACGAGTTAGTTTTCATTAAATGTTGCAGGCAGGCTTACCCACAGGAGGTATAGCACTAAGTTTTAACGCCCTGTATCCCCAACAGGAAACATTTCTCGAATTCGCGCCCAATACAACTCTTGTTCAGCACAACATGAACGACTGATTTAGTAATTTATAAAAATGCTGGACGATCAAATGCCACAAGTTTTGTTTATTTGTTTGATTAATTTCATTTAAACTAATACCTAATTCGTTTTTTAAATTCTGGGAAAAGTTTTTGTTTTTTTAGATCAATCTGAACAAAAAAGTGGTGGTTAACTCTCCTCTAAGCTTAGCAGTTTTTAACTTAAGAGTAATTGTCTGAAAAACCATAACAATTGCCTTCTTCAATGGTGCCTTTTTCCCCTTGAAAACGGAGAAGTGGAGATTGAATATATGGAGCCAATACTCCGTTTTCGGTAAAGCCTTTAACAGCTAGATAAACTCCCACTACAGAAAGGTAACCTTTCGTCAACCATTGCTGAATAAATCGTAAAAGTTAAGTTAAAAGTACCGAAAAGATTGTTTGAAACTAAAGCGTTTCAATCTGTAAGCGGGGATAGAAGTATCCAAAGCAAATCGAAACATTTTGTTCCGATACAAAATGTTTGAGACTGGTCTAAGGTTACGCAGTCCCTGGAAAGCTTCGATTTTGGACTCCCAAAATAGCTCCAAAAGTGAATCACCCTGTATATTTCATATGTAAGTTTTGTCTCTGACGAATATTTAAAAAATGGCGTAACTGAATCTCCCAACTAGTAGAGTATCGTTAGATGTAAAAACACAAAAATCTCAGAGCCCATGTTCTCTGAGCGGATTTTTTTTTATTCTTAGTGGAACACGTTTAAAATGCTCGACCTAGCATTTTTTGCGTCTTTTATAGTATTTTTAATTCCCTTGAAATTACTTGAGTGATTCGAATGAAACTCTGGGAGTCAGCAGTAGATATTAAGACACTGAATCTGAATTATTATATCCGACTCAATTATCCCAGGGGCAACGCTATCAAATTTTAACAGCGTGTTCCATAATTCAACTAAGCTCGGTATTGGTTTCTTTTTTAGTGAGATAAAGGGAGTTTCAGATGAAACAATATTTTTTTCTGCTTGAAAAGAAGTAGTCTAAGAGCTTGCAACTAGAAAATTCGTCAAATAATAAAACTCCAACAATTAAACAGAAATGTGATGATACCTCTGGATTGCCATAAATCTTCATACAGATCAAAATGTGCGAGTTCTATAATTTTCATCTGTCCCGACGGCTGAAACTAGAGCAATCTAAGAACATCTTACACCTTCTAGATTACTTCTGTGAGTTTTACAGTTGGTTGATTGTTGTAGGTACAAACTCTAAAGTTGGTTACTAACAGGAAAGCGGAATTTTTTTTTCGTGTCTTAAAGTCCCTTTGGCCATATCCGCAAAGAAACCAGTGATGTGCTTAGCTGAAATTCCAAATACTCAGCTAAAATTTGGCACCCTATAACTTAGTTAGGAAGCTCCAAAATACATAGGTGATATGAACCTTGTTCGGTTTCATGATATCTGCCACCTGGTATGTTATAACCTAAGTAACCTCATGCAGAAATGAATGAAATATATAAAAGTAAAAAAAATTAATAGGTAAACTTTTGACCATACAGTATTTTAAAGGCATCTTTCTGAAAATCTCCATTATCCATTTAGTTGCGCCGAGTTCAAGGGCTTAAAAGTAACCCCCCCCCCCCACTAAACAACCAGAAAAATTAATATAATTCTTCCAGTACACTCTGACTATGGCCTGTCTGCCCCAATCGTCCATGGAGTTGATCATGTATCATCTCACCACGCTGAACCCTCAGCACCAGCTCACTACGATTTCGGCTACTCCGTAATGGACCCTCACACGGGCGACATCAAAAGTCAGCACGAGACACGCAGAGGGGATGTTGTCACCGGTAAGTTCCCTAATTCAATTTTAACACCCCTATTCACCCTTGATCTTCTCAGGAATGGTATGCGTGATATTGCGTACAAGGATGATTAACTATGCTCAGCGGGTGTTATTTCATTATTATTTCGTATGCAGGGTTACTTTTTACTTCATTACGACTGTTGATATGATGATAGCTGCTTAGTTAACTGATACATTAATGTAACACCTGAAACTTATCCTGTGGTTTTATGTCGACCATTACCATCGTTTTAATTTCTACCAATCACAAACGCGCAATTGAATTACAAATGGTTTCTAAACGTAAAAATTGTATGACAGCACCTGTCAGCAGTTTTTTCAAGTTTACCCGCGGCAAAATTTGACAGCTGTTGTCACCAAAAATTGCAATAATCAAATCCAAGCGAATAACTAAAATTTCTGTGTTATGTACCGCGGTTATAATATGGTTCAAGATGACACTCCGGTTGATGTCGTCAGTTACTCGAATCGCTTGAACCGCGGTTTTGTTACAATTTTATTATTTTAGAAAAGCGCGTATATAATTTCTGATTTATCACTTAATAATCGGTGCCTTTTCGTATACAACGGTGTATGAAAAGTTTAAAAAAGAAACCTTTCATAATATTAATGAAAGGAATGTTTTTTCCAGAAAAAAATTTTTAATGATGGAACCATGGCATTGTAGTATGATAAATTTGAATTCTCTAAACTTTTCCGCATGTTAAAGAAAATATTTATTGATTTAGCAGAAATGATAGGAAAAAGCGATGAAAAAAGATATTAGCAAAACCGCATATAGGTGGACATCATCCAGTGAGTTTACATGGCGATATTTTAATATTCTTGTGGTATATGGCTACGCAGGATACTTTGTTAAGGATAAGAACTAGAATTTAAGTGTCCCCAACAACACTAATGATTATAACTAATAAGGTGCTCTACTTTATGCTAAAACTGAAGTCAGCATGTATTAACTGTCCCAAAAATGAGGCAAGCTGAAGTACAATAAAAATATCCAATACCCGGCAAAATTCTAACTTGTTACATTTCAAATAATAACTAGAAATATAAAAGTACTCCTGAATTGGGTAAGTACCACAATTTTGCGGTGATAACTATGACATATAACAGCTGCTTCATGACGTCACGGATCTTAAAACTGATAACCACACTTGAACTTGAACGGATCGGTAAATACCAATCCAAAATGGTAAATACCATTTTCATTTGGTTATTCGCTTGAATTTGATTATTACCTTTGATAACAAGTAATTATGGTCTCCTTGGTCACCAGAAAACGACACTAAGCAATTTTCTTGATTTTGTGCTAGTCAGCTTATGTAGTGAAAATGTGTCGCTTTGGGAGTGATTCTATGACTAATATTAATCTGACGATTGAGAAAAGTGTAACGTACAAAATATCCCATACGTCAATATGGAAATAGTTTACGGAATTCGGCAAGGCAAATAAATACGAGCTTTTGGTAACTACAAGTTTAGAGCAACTAAACTAAGAGTTTGTAGTATTTTGTGATTAAATAAATTACCGGTTTTTCAGTTTTCAAATTAATACCTACATATTTCGGAAAAATTAGATGCCCTTATGATATTACTTATGATAATCTCCCATGTTTCTCTAGCCAATGAAACCACATGTTTCTTTAATGTACACGTTTCAGTATCGCAAGAATTTAAATACTTACATGCGGTCTCATTGGCCAGAGAAACATGACAGACTATATTATGGTTTTTATGATGATAATCCTCCATGTTTGTCGACATATGTTGTCATCAGAGTTGTGATTGGACTTGAAAAAGCTGAAGCATCATCAGCAAACATTATTTCTAGCATAAATATGTGGTTTCATTTAGCGACCAGACAAACATATAAGCTGTAAATTTTCTTATTGTGTAATAATCTGACAACTTAACAGATTGATTAGAAATTCCACTGCAAACATTTTTAGGGCAGAAAGTAGATCCGAAAATAAGATAAAAAGTTTCTGTAACAGCCCATTATCAAGGTAGAGCCATCTGTAAATTAATTTGCCTATGATTGATTGAATGTAAAAAACATTGTGATGTGATCGCTTAATATACTACATACATTTCACCTTGAAAGTTCAAATCGATTTTTCTATAAATTAATGCTCTAAAAGAGGTCTCAATAACTTTCCGCATTGTTTTTGGATTTACTCCCCGCTACTGCCCTTTTAACCACCCGTACCGTACTGAACTACAAGTATTTCGCCATAGTTTTGTTCCAACAAGCCATCGAACTTCCAACAGAAAATGAAGCTGATTCCGTGACTTACGGTTCTCTGTTCCAAAAAATTCCAAACTGATTCTGAACCGGTTCTTAACTAGTCCTAACAATTCCAGAGAAAACTAAGAGTTCCAATTTGGTAGTGTATGCGCGTTGACAGAATTAATAGCGTCGATCAACTGCCCATAGCTGAGAAGTTGGGTTTTGTGGCTTTTTAAAAAATGGGTGATGATGAAGATCGCTTTGAAATAGATCCACTAAATATGGGGGTTCCAAGAAACAGAAATGAAAATGTCGAAGGCAAATGTTCATAATTTCCAAAAAATTGTTTAAATCACGGTATCAGTGATAATAATATTTAACAATATGTCCACTTAACAAAATGTAATTTCTGCTGTTTTGCCAGGAATTATAATAGGTCCATTACTATACTAAGTGACATATAAATCCGAACACCCAGTTTAAATGGTTTTATTTTAATAAAAGTTGGTGAATGTATTTAACTTACTGTAAATAACAAGTGAAAAAATTGTCAGCCTTATCAGTTGAACATTCCGGTTTTTATACCGCTTTTTTTTAATTCACTAACGCTCTAAAAATGAATATTTCAGCCGCAGTAAAGAATCAACGTTGGCGGATTTTGGTTCTTGACATGCTTTACGATCGGTTACGATGCCTAGTGTACGGAGACCTGTACGATTTCGTCAACTTAGTGAGTTTGATAGGGGCCGTATAGTGGGACTTCGGGAAGCTGGACTTTCTTTTCGGGCAATTGCAGTTAGAGTGCAAAGAAGTGTAGACACTGTGGTTAGGTGTTGTCAGGCATGGCTTCGAGAAGGCCGTACGCAAAGAGCAAGGGACACTGGACGCCGCCGTAGAACAACAGACCGTGAAGATCGCCGCCTAAGATTATCGTCCTTAAGGGACCGTTTCTCCACTACTAGGTCCATTGCAAATGAATGGTTTGCAGAACACGGAAGACCTATTGGCATGCGAAGTGTTTACCGACGAATGAGAAGTTTTGGCTTGTTTTCATACCGGCCACACTGGGTCCTCCCTTTAACTCGAGAACACCGACGTAATCGCCTTGAGTGGTGCAGACAACGGTCACTCTGGGATCAGGAATGGAACAGTATTGTCTTTAGTGACGAGTCTCGAATTTGTTTAGGCATGCACGATGGTCGTGCCAGGGTTAGAAGGCGACGTGGTGAAAGGAGGAATCCACAGTTTTTTGTTGATAGACATGTTCACCACACTGTTGGAGTTATGGTTTGGGGTGCTATAGCTTATGGTTCCAGGTCACCTTTAATCTTCATCAGAAGTAGCATGAACGCGCAGCGTTATATCCACGAAGTTCTAGAACCCCATCTTTTACCCTATCTTGACACCCTGGCAGATCCAACTTTCCAACAAGATAATGCCCGACCACATGTTGCAAGAGTCACAATAGACTTCTTTCAACATAATGACGTCACATTCTTACCATGGCCACCAAGATCTCCCGACTTATCCCCAATTGAGCACGTGTGGGATATGATGGGTAGGAGATTGCTCAATTTGCAACGTCCTCCTCAGACTCTAGAAGCACTTCGAGAGGAGTTGGTGGTTGCCTGGAATGAGATACCACAGGAAGACATTGACCACCTGATCAGAAGCATGCCTAGGCGCGTTGGAGAATGCGTAGCATATCAGGGTGCATCCACACATTATTAAAGGTCAAAGGGCTTTAAAGCAGTGCAATCATTTTGAAATTTTTATCATTTACTTATTATGCTTCATTAAGTACTTATACAAAATTTTATTAAAATAAAACCATTTAAACTGGGAGTTCGGATTTATATGTCACTTAGTATATTTACATTCTATACATCTCATTTATTAAATTTTATGTCACATGATTGCTGATGCTGATGTTGTACAAATTTATAAAGCTTGCAAGCCAAATGAAGTTAATTCATTGACTTTCTAATTAAATATAAATCTAGAAATGATTGCAAATCATTCCAAAAATTATTGTTTGAAACTGAATCCCTCAAAAACTAAAGCTGGCTGCATTGATTCTAGGTTAAATATTTAAAATTTTAAAGAATTGATCAGTATAGACATTGTTTTAGGTGATCCAGCTATTGCAATTGTAGAAGAGACTAAGAATTAAGGAATTTTATTGGACAAAGTTTAAGTTTTCAGAACCATATCATTAATGAACTTCGAGTATGCTATTGTAAATATAAGTCACTTTGGAGATACAAACATATTTTGACCAGTGATATAAAAGTAAGACTTACCAATGCACTAGGTAGAGAAGCACAAAATTCGAGTATTACAAAGCTGCTGCATGAGATTCTGTTTCAAAGAGAATACGTAAACAAGAACATATTACTGGATATCATGTAAGAGAAAATGTTTTGAAATTCAAGTATCGCGGCTTTAGCGTGGAACTCTGTATAAAGTTTTAAAATATACGTTACCCAGTTATCTGTTTATTTCTTAGAAGAAGAGATGTTCACTCCGCCAGATTTCCTTACGCAACAATGCCTATTTCAATATGCCAGTTCATACAACGTCTACATTCGAAAAATGTTTTACTTACACGGGGCCATATCTTCTGAAAGATTGTTTAGAGCTTTTTGCAGCACCTTCCATCCAAAACTTCAGGAATGAGATGGAAAAAGTGCTACTACAGCTACAAAGATTTGAAACCACAAATTAAATTTATCGCGGTTGCTACACTATCTTCCACTAACACTAATACTATAATATAGTGTTGTGCATAATATTTGCTGATGTTAAATAAATGCCCATGAAACTAGCTTTTTAGGGGGCCGTGCCAATTCTCTTTCCTTTTGGAATTTTGTCGTTTTGTTTTATGTATATGTATACATTCCAATAGAAATTATTATTTTTATTATTATATTAATTTCATACCAAGTCACTGACAAAGACAAAACTTTGTACTATTTATGCAAAATATTCCACCAAGCTACTAATCTCTTATTATATCAGTCATTTCGATCTCCCAGCCTAAAAAAATGTACAGTACATCAAAAAGCAATAAATTTACTCAAATTACAGTTTTTGCTCCAGGAAACTTTTAAATTTTATATCAATTAAGGTTATGTTTATGACTACAAGTCATGCAATTCTCTGTTCCTACAGAATACTTTGAAACCACTTCTGAACTTTATTTATCTCGGGCATGCCCACAAAAATAATTCGGAATTAGTTCTGAGCTGGTTCGGAACTGCTTGCTGGGACAAACTCATAACTCGCGCTCTCTCGCTATTTTTAAAACAAATATATTGTAAGTACATAATGGTGAATGCTCTATGTAGGCTTTGGTCACATCGTAGAGTTGTTACTAACCACAGTTTGAATCCCATTGGATTTTTATCAAATATAGATTTAGCTCTATTTTGGACCTTCTAAGCGAAAAACACAGTAAGACGAATTGCTCGGTTTTTGCTTTGGTTCCATATTCAGTATTCACTGATGATTCTATCAGAGTCAGTGGATTTCTACGTTACGTGACGTATGACATCAATAATTTTACTGATGTCCAGGCTACAGGATCAATAAATATCACATTCGGTGGTAAATACTGATAAATCACACTAAATATTATCACTTAAGGCTTAACTTGGAGATAGGGGGTTGAACAGGGTGGGAGTTGCATAACGTGAGAGAGAACATATCTAATATTTTTGAGTTTATGTGCTTCTTACCCCTGTAGTTCTACGCACCTGCTAGATATATTTAACATATAGATTTTTCCATATGGTTTCCCTTCATAACACTAATTTCGATCTCACATATTAACCCAACGTAGGCCAAAACAATGTGTAAACGCACCAAAACGAAAAGACTATTAGAAAGGAAGCTTTCCGTACACTACCTGTGCGTATATTGCGGCAACTTGTGGAAAAAGCTAGGCTGTTTGTTTGGGGATGAGAATTAGAAGTTTTCCACATCCTCCTCGTCCTGTACAAGGCCCAGATGAGACGTAGCCTAGAGTACTGCTCACATGTTTGGGGTGTTGTCGCCCCTATAACAATATCAGTTCAGAGAACGACTGTCCGCCTGATCACCGACGGACAGCCTCTGGACCCATTCGCAGCGACGGACCGTCGGCAATTGAGCTCTCTTCTGCTGTTATGGCAACGGGCTTTGCTCCTCAGAGCTCTTCTCCATTTTAACCGTGTCACTTCGCACATCTAGAACTGGCCGATACGACCGCTTCTTTGTCGCTAGCGTATCGACATTTTGGATCAATCTATCTGAGGGCGTCTTTTTCCAGTCCTACTAACCTTAGTCAGTTCAAAAATCGGATAAACTAAGATTCTTTGAGCTCCACGGAACAGTCGCGGTGTCCTGACATTTATTCTTCTACCTACGCTGCTGCCTCGGTATAAAAAATCTATCCATCTCGGAAAATTTTTGAACCGCGTGGGGAAGCAAATTTTCTCAGGAGAAGCCCAATCTTAAACATCTCAAAAATGATACAAATCATGCTAAAATACACTCAATGCTGGAGTTATATATAAGCCTCCTGATGTTCATTTATACTCACTGACATCGCTAGAAGAGATGCTAGCATCTCTTCTTCCTACATCCGAGGATATTGTTTGCATGGGTGATTTGAATATCAATTTTCATAATACTAACAGCCCAGATTTTAAATTCGTATCAACATTTATCCAGGATCTTAATTTCAAATTGTGAACGAAAAGACTAGAGTAACTAACAATAGTAGCAGCCTTTTAGATGTTATTTTTGTGAACAGAGAATTAAACATTACTGAAACAGGTCTCGTCTATCTCCCCACCATTTCTGACCACAGTTTGGTATATTTCTGCATTGAATGTGAAAAAAATATTGTGTCCTAAATATATATGTATGTACTTACTAGAGACATAAGAGACATCGATCACTCATTATTAAAGAAAGTTGCATCGTCTCTCTATTGTTTAGATGTAGTCCATTTAGAAAGCATTGAACACAAGTTGCGATATTGTTAGGAATTGGTTGAAAATGTACTCAACGATTGTGCTCCTTTCAAATCCAAAAAGATTACCAAAGCACGGTATCCTTGAATTACTACTAAAGAAAAGGTTTTGAATATTTTTCTAAAATTAATTCATGTGCAAAAGGTCTGGATGGCCTAAACTTAGATCTTTTGATTCCCTTAATTCCATACTGTATCGATGCATTGACACACATTATAAATTTTTCACTAGGAAAAGGTGTTGTGCCGAGCCTATTGAAAGCCGCTACGGTTAGACCTCTTCCAAAAATTGATGATCCGATTGCACCTGGTGATTTCAGGCCTATTAGTATACTGCCATTGCTATCTAAAATTCTGGAAAGAATTGTCTATGAGCAAATACTAGGACACATAAATAAAAACAGTTTGATTACAAATCTTCAGTCGGGGTTTCTAAAAGGTCACAGTACGGTTACCACTTTGATTCACATATGTGATGACTATATCAGGGCTATGGATAAACCTTGTGTCTAGTTGATCTCAGCAAAGCCTTTGATTCTATCAATCATGAATTGCTTATTGCTAAGCTGCATTATCTTGGCTTTTCTGATAGTACTGTAACGTGGCTTAGGAGTTACTTGCATGAGCGGTCACAGCTAGTTAATGTAGGCGGCTGTATGTCCCATAAGCGTGCTATTTTCAAGGGGAACCGTAGGGCTCTATACTTGGCCCAATTTTGTTTACTTTGTATACGTCCGATATAAGTCGTGACGTTAAAATATTGTTCTATTCAGTCTTACGCTGATGATACCCAACTGTATTTGTCTTACCACCCGTCCGATTTCCTGGAGGCAAACAGGAGAATGTCTTATGATGATCTAGATCGTGTTGCGAAGTGGTATAACGATCACGGGTTACTTATCAATTCAAACAAATCTGCTGTCATAACTAGGTATTAAGTTCATACAAAGTAATTTCGATAGTAACCAGCAAAGTCGAATACGTTGATGCGGTGTATGGTCCATGCCTGACGCAGTTGGAAGGAAGCAAAAGCAAAAAGTGCAAAATAGTTGTATCAGGTATGCATTAGGTGTTTCGAGAAGGGAACACATTACTAGATACATTAAAGATGTCAACTGGCTCACGATGCGTCAGAGATGGATTGTACACTTGTTGTTCATGGTACAGAAAGTCCTACTAAACAAATAACCAGCATATCTGAACAGCAAACTTTTATTCAGAAGTCAGCATCACTCGGCGAACTTACGCTTTGTTATACCCTCTATATGCCCCCCCATAAATCAACACAATTCACAAAGTGCTTCTCATGCATAGCGCCTTTCCTTTATAATTGTCTACGATCAGATCTGAAAAGTTTGAGTAACAATAATTTTAAAGTTAAAATAAAGCAATTTGTTCTCGATAATACCTAATTTTATACTAAGCTTTCATCTTGTAACTGCTGTGATTCTACATTAAGTTTCTGGTTGCGTTTGACCTATGTACATTTAACTTTATCATCTACTGAGCTTTACGTGAATGCTTCTTACTTGTGATAACATAGCTAAATGGTACTTATTTCCTGTTCTTTTTTACGTTTCTTTTATATACTTCCTTTTTTTATTATCTCTGTCTCAGTGAGTGCGTGAGTGTATGTGATTTAAATCTGTCTACACACTTTCACACTTTACACACTATTATGTTGTACCTGTTACTTCTCAGTACTATATGTCTTGATCATTATTTTTTTGTATCTATGATTTTTTTATGTTTGTTAATCTTATGTAGCGCTGGTTGGTACGAAAACCAGCTATTAGCTGATATAGCCGCCAGGTAAAATAAAGGCATTTTATTATTATTATTATGAAATATGCAAACTTGAGAGGGCAGCCAGACTCTCAGGATCGGTCCAGGACCTGGGGCTAGGGACCAATTGTATGGGCCTTATATGACAGACCAAATCCCATGAATTTCTCAGTTAACTTCATTGTATGAGGGGCAGCTTATGCCGAGTAAAATCTTTTATGAATTGACAACAGCATTACGTGCGGAATGTATTCAACCTATTTGATGCATTATTTTATTCCACATGAGTTATATCTCTAATTTCAACCCCTTCCTGCTACAGAAAAACATCATATGAAACATTTTGTGTGAATTTCTTCTAGGTAGTTACACTCTAGCTGACTCTGACGGTACCCAGCGCACGGTACACTACACAGCAGACGCAGTACATGGATTCAACGCCGTGGTGCAAAAAGATCCAGTTACAGCTCATGTGGTGACCGCAGCTCCTCTAGTCTACACTGACAACCATCACCAAGATGTTTCCCATGAAGCCCATGTGGTGACTGCCGCTCCACTGGTCTACAGCGATGGGCAAGCTGTTTCTCACCACGATGCTGTTTCCCACTATGAAACTGTCACCCAACATGGATGGTGAAGATTTTGTGCATAAATCAAATTAATATAATATTTCAGAATCTTCTAGACATTTCAAAAGCGAATAAGTATCTACAACAGTTAGTTAAAGTGATAAATAGACAAAATATGACAAATATTGTCATTGTATTATTCGTAACATTTCCCGTATTATTACGTTTACAGGTTTCCCTTAACAAACTTTACTTAAGCGTTTTATTTAGACCGCACACACAAGGGCATTAAAGCGGTGTAGGTGACTGAAATTGGTCTATACCTAGTTTGTCGCTCTAGAACTGTAAAGATTTCATTTTCGATTGGGCGAGTGCTTTAACAACAACAGGCGCCGAGGCATATAATGAGACCAATAATATCAAAGTAGGTATAAAGTGTTACCAATACTAACAATAAATATTACAAAATGTTTGATTTGACATCCCGATTCTAACTTATTTTACAAATACCTTAAAGCATCTAATTGGCTGAAAATTTGCTTTAGCCCTACCATGTACAACGAGTGCAGGCTTTGTTACCAGAAGACTATCCTCGCAGACTAACATTCTGTCAGTGGTTTTTGCACAAAAACATTGAAAATCCGATTTTTTTTAAAAAACATTCTAGCGACGGACGAATGTACTTTTACGCGAGACGGGATATTAAATTTCCATAACACTCACACGTGGGCCCAAGAAAATCCTCCTACTATTCGTGAAGGTCATTTCCAACAACGTTTTAAAATAAATATTTGGGCGGGTATTCTTGACGATCAGGTAATTGGCCCTTTCGAGCCCCAAAGTTGTCAGGAGAAGGATACCTTAGCTTTCTAGCCAATAACCTACCAGAACCTTTGGAACAGACCTTTAGACAACATGCCATTACAACGGAGACAGAATTTGTGGTTTCTTCATGACGGGGCACCACCACACATTTTTAGAGGCGCCATTCGGTATTTGAATGAACATTATCCAAATCGCTGGATCGGTCGAAATGCTCATGATCCTCGAAAATGGCCAGCAAGATCTCCTGACCTCAATCCGATGGATTTGTGGTATTGGGGAGAACTTAAGGGGATGGTTTATAGGGCTGGTCCAATAATTTAATGCGGCTGAAATAATAAATGGCCAACTTCGAGGACGTAGAATAAGAAGAAACGGCATTTTGAACACCTTCTTTAAATACAAAAAAGGTGCAGTGTGGGTTTAAAAAAAAAAACAATGTATGTATCAAAGTTGTGTTCCCTATTTATAAGTGGATTTTTTTAATATGTTCAATAAAGTTTAACACACCAGGTGAAGCGCTGAGACAGTTAATGCTAAGTCCGTTTTTTTAATTGTTTGCATTTTACGAGTACATTATCAAATAATGAAATAATACCTAAGAGCCAAAAATAACAAACTCCATCTTTATTTACACTGCGTTCGGTCGTAATTTGCGTCTGGCATTGCGGCGTTGTCAGATATTATTTTACTTTAAAGTCACTTTTCTCTAAAAAATGCCGTTTTGACCACCATGTTATATGAAACTTTTTACTCCTTTTAACCCCCTCTATCACCCATTTAAATAATGACTATCATAACGTTTATACCCTGCATATGTATTGAAAGTCGTTTTCCAATATTATGCAAATTATTGAGGTATTCAAGAAACGCTGGGTGATTTTTATTTTCTGGTTTAAATTATGTACCCGATTTCCATGGCAAAAATCCGCAACTATGCTGTCTATTCCTTTGTATATTTGCTTTAATTGGTTTACGCTGTGAATATGTTCAGGTGTTTTTACAGTTACGAATATACAAATTAATCTAGTTAATATATCAATAATAGGAAAGTACATGAAATGTTACCTGTGGAAGTTCCAACATATGTCCTAAAAGTCTGGTCGAGGATACCGGGTGTCATAGTTTAAGAAGATTATTTTTTTATTTACTTATATCAAGCGTTCCTGTGCCGATTATGTTATATCTTGGCAGTATTGCTTGCTGCAGTAAGAAGTCAAGGCAGCACTATCGAAAACATAATTATGAATGTCAGTGTTGCCACTAAGAGCAATCTCACGAGTTGTATTGACAAAAAATATACGCCATTGACTTTTTTGAATAAACTACATATATTTTTGCGGTCTGAATGGCTAACGATCCAATTCCTTTGCCTCCTGGTATCCCTTCGTATGCTACTTAGTTTTTAAGGAAAACGTGCAATTGATAGGTACTGCAAGGAACCTCGGTAATTCCTCTGCCTAGCGCAGCATTTCCGGTGAATTATATTACTTGCAATATCTAACAAATTTCTAATAACAATGTTATACAGTATGATCTTACCATACTACAAACGATAGAAACGACTTATTAGGGAATGTTGTTCTATTATCGACATACCTAATACATTCCGTGACAGTTTGCTATAATTTTTAGCCCTACCAAAAACTATTTTTTTCTTCAATACTGTATCTTGGAAACTAGAGTTTTTAGAACACATGTTTATATGAACTTTCCTACTTAAATTTCGGTTGGGAATGCGCCCTTCTAACAATGATCTATCACCACACACCATACATACTGCGTATGTTTATCCGGTTATAATAATTTTTACCATATCTGATCAGTATCCTTTACTGGTAAAATGATTGAATTTTCATCTTGATTCGTCAACTGACTGTAGAAGCTGGTTCAATAATGAGTTGGGAAACCACGATTTCTTATACCCCTTGACACGCCCGGACATCGTGCTGGTAAGGTGGTCGATATCCTTTTGGGGTATCTCATTTCAGGCTACTGCAACTTCGTGAGTAAGAGCTACTAAAGTCTGTGGAGGTTGTTGCTAATTCAAGAGCCCGCGACCTATCATGTCCCAGATTTGCGCAATTGGAGATATGTAGGTCAGTCGATTGTAAACGGTGGATGCGATGTGGATCCATGAAGGCCAACAATGCTCTGGCAATATGCGGTCTGGCATTGTCTTGCTGAAAAATCGGGTTTTGGATGGTGTTTAGGTAAGGAATAAGTTGAGGCTCCACTACTTCCTGAACATAGCGTCGGGCTGTCCTATTGCCTCTGATGAAAATTAGTGGTGATCTGCTACCATAAGCATACCATACCATACCATAACTCCCACGGTGTGGTGAACGTGACGCTCTCTATCAAATTGTAGGTCTACTCTTTCACCACGTCGCCTTCTCAGTCTTACCCGACCATCGTGCATCCCCAGACAGAAGCGGGATACGTCACTAAAGACCACCTGGTCCCATTGAATTTTGTCTCTACACCAGAGCAACCGGTTACATGTTCAGCTGTGAGAGGTAGCACCCAATGTGGGTGATAAGAAAAAAGGTCAAACTGTCGTATTCGGCGATATACCGTACGCATACGAACAATTCTTCCATGCTCTTCAAACCACTGATTAGCCATGGCTCGAGTACTACTTAATCTGTCTCTCAGAGCCAGGTCTTGACCGGCGATATTGTCGCTCTGTGGTTCTTCTGAGACGTCAAGAACCCCTCGCTCGCTGTCCTCAGCCTTCCTGAGACCACGCTCGTTCACACTGCAGTATACTGCGTGAAGATCTGATGGTCCTCCTAGAAACTTCTCTTATCGACAGACCGACTTCACGCAATCCGTCAATTCGACCCCTCTCAAAGTCACTTTGCTTGAACACCCGGCAAACCCTACGCACTCTAGACATTTTGAGCAATCACAAAAAGGCTTCTAAATAAGCTACACGAAATTCAACATTTACCAGACCCCTTAAATGAATGCTTCTTTATCACCAAACAATACACGCAGTCACCACAAAAACTTAACAGAATATCCTGACCATTTTATCGCTTGTTGTTCATGGCAAAATAAATCAATATGAAAAAAAATATATGAATATAATAAACATACGTAGGTGCTTACCTTTTTTCGTCGCTCAATATATATGCTTATACAGACACTATTCCTTTCTAAGTACAGTATATTCAGATAAGAGATAGACCGGTTGTAAACAAAAGGTTCGGGTGATTTTCACGCTAACGCCGCCGTCTCGACGTAAAACAGGAGCCCTCATTGGTCAATTCGCAATTAAATGCCTATGCCGAGCGGCAGAGCAGTCGTATCAAGGCAGAGTCACATTCAGGTTCAGACGTGTTACGTATGTCGTGTGCATCATTGCAATTTGATATTTCTTTGGACGTTTTCGTTTGTTATCTTATTAAGTTGTTGAGTTTGTCGTTGTTATTGTTATACCTTGTTATTGATTGTTATTGTTATCAACTGCTTGCGCAAAATGCCCAGTAGTACAGATACTGCCGATGAAGTTCTAGTCCACCTAGGAAACGCTCTAAAAAAAGACACCTGAGTGCAGAAATGAAAGAGGTCATTTTGAATATATATAAGATCGAGCGCGAGGAGAACGAGGCATCAACCGTCAAAGAAATTGTTGTGACGGTTTCTCACAAAGTTGGGGTGTGTCGCGCATCAGTGTTTAATGTGTTAAGACAATACAAAAAAAATCACACCTTTTCTGAGCCAATGACCAGTAAACATCGCAAAAGTATTGTTAAATCATTGGATGAAGCTGATAAGCATGCGATTAGGAGGAAAGTGCATGAATTCTTCTTTAGGAATGAAATACCTACTATAGATAAAGTACTGCAGGAGGTAAATGGAGATACAATGTTGCCAAATTTCAAACGATCAACTTTCCATGCGTTACTGAAGCATTTAAATTTCAAATGGAAAAAACGGGGTCGTAATAGTTTACTACTGGATAGAGAAGAAATTGTGCTATGGAGGAGAGATTATTTAACAAAAATTGGGAAATATAGAAATCAAAACAGAAAGATTTATTACCTTGATGAAACGTGGGTAAACGCAGGACACACTACAAGTAAAGTATGGGTTGATGATTCTGTAACTTCATCCAGGAGGGCCTTTCTACATGGACTGTCCACCGGATTAAAAAATCCAGCAGGTAAATACGAGTAATAGACAACAATCGGATGTTTTTCAAACCTTGGGAACAAGGTTCTAAACATTAATTCCAGGGGGCAGATAAAACATATTACAAGTAACAAAACTTTTATAACTTTCGATAAAATGCGTGGATGTTTTATTGTCATTTTCAATTGTTAGAACTTTTTTAAGCCATGTTTTTATGTGTTTTCGATATTTCAATAATTTTTTAATATAATCTTAAAATATGTCGAATATTATAAACTTAAAAAAAGTTACTAAGTTTTATATTGTGTACCGTTCCTAATATTTCTAATCATTTTAATTCATACTTTAAGCTTTATAAAGTTATAATTTGTTAATATTAATATTTGCGCGTATTTCAGGTTCCT